TATAATCTATTTGAAAAAAAAAGAGGTCGCCTTGGAGCTGGAAGCAGCAAAGTGTACAGATTAAATCATTTGAAGATATTGTTTCACTTTTATTCTAGAATCTAGAGCATTTATGTTTTAGACAGCCATAACATTTTATTTTGTAGCTGCTCACAGGAAGCAGTGACTCCCACTACTTTGGAGAGCTTTACAGGGGATGTCCGAGAGCTCAGAGCGCACACGTCGCCCTCTCCACTGTATCTCACCACTGCGGTAGGATCGGGGCGGCAGGCAGACAGCTGGTACCTTATAACGCAGCTCACTCGTTCCTGCTCTGCTCAATCCCAGAGACGACTTTATCACTTAGGAGATACTTTCCCCTGTAAGGACACCCTACAACAGCCTCTCCCAGGTTTTCTCCTGTAGCCTGGTGAGAGCGGTGGAAGGAGAAGTTTTTTTGATGTGTGATCTGTGTATGTTTTTAACCACATCACCATAACCTTGGAAGACACACCTGATCGCAGAGCAAGGATGGGACCGCTACTCCCTTTCATCGTGTTGTGTTTGAGCGCCGCTGTCCCACACAGTGTGAAAGGTGAGTGAAGCAGTCATTATGTTGTTTAACATTATTGGAGTCGAAGTGACAGACTGATTGGTGCTGATCGCGGTGTTTACAACATGCATTGAAAGTGCTCATATTTTTAATTAAAGAAAAAAAAAGCATAAAAACGTATGTGAGTCTGTCTTGTTTGGAGATCAGGATCATCGGTGTGTAATGTATTCAGGGTAGTTTTAAATCAACCAAAGTGGATGATTGTTTCTCTTGGATGTTTTGCGCGTTAGGCGCGCAGAGTTGATTTAAACATTGGTATTTCTGCGCACCCTTCTCCAGTCGGTAATCAGCTGTCTCGCTTTCCTCTGTGTGAAATATGCTGAGCGTCTAGATTTAACAGCTTCTACTTTAAGATTACCTCATTTTCTTAAACAAGCTGGATTCTAAGAAGTCAAAGACGGATAAATGAAAAAAAAAAAAGGTTAGTGGGGAAGCTTGATCAGGAAACAAAGAACAAATTACGCATTTATGTAAGGCTGCGATGTTATTGACCATAGCGCCACAAAAAGGTCAATTATGCACTTTAATCTAATCTGGAGTTTTAGTATAAGAGCCCAGGCTGTCTTCTCCAAAGAAGGAATTGCTGAACGCTTATAGATTTATCTATGCACTTTAAGATACATTAAAAATCCCATCCTCTCCCCCTTTTACGCTTTCAGTTTTCTGGATGTCGGGAATGTTAAGTTTTTTTCCCTGCTTTAAATTTGTCACTGGGCAGGAGAAAACCAGTATACCTGTGGGATGTTCTGTGAAGGAAACAGCCTGCAGTTGCCCTAATGGAAGTGGGTCATGCCATCCTCCTGTCTTTATCCATTTAACGGCACACTTGCCTTAGGAGTAACACATGTCAGACAGACCTCGGTCTCTAAACAAGGAATCTGCCTGGAGCAGACTTTCTAGGCTCCCTGAGCCACTGTGTCAACTCAGTGAAAACCTTTGCAAGACATAATACTCCCTGGTAGACTGGCATAATGAATCCTGAGGAGAAGAACAGAGCTTTGGTGCTTTGGGACAACTTGTTTCAAGGCTCACAGAGTTAAAAATACTCCTCGGTGGTTCTTATTTAATCCCTATAAATTTTTTGAAATATTATCTTTTTTATATAGAGTCACAGTATGATAACCTTGGTGTTTATATAAAAAAAAATAGAAAGGAAGGAAACAACATTTACCAACACTATTGCCAAAATGCTACATAGCTACTTTACGCTGCTGTTGGATAGAAATGTAAACATTTCAGGAAAAAAAGTAGTTTGATTCTTACTACTGAATGATTAAATTTACATGCTCTGTTTGATAGTTTTGATTGGAAATGTAATAAATAAAATAGAAACAAAAGGGGACAGTGATTACTATTGCACATTTTTACAGGGAAATAAATATGTCTAAATTGTAAGATGTTTTTTTCTGTTTTCCAAATAACTGCTTGAGCTATTTGTTATATGACTGTTATTCTTATACAAAACATTTACTAAAATATTTGTATAATAGGTTTTCATTCTACTTCTTACAGAATTACACTAGGAGTAAATAAAACTGATAACAAGGAGTTTGGTTGGACTATCTTCTTGTGAAGATAGTCTGCAGTCTACCACCTAGTCTTAAGTTAGTTTTTTATAGGAGGAAAATAAAAGTGTAAAATTAATGCAATAAATCAGGAGCAGAAGTGTTATGATAAGATGTTAAAACATATAAAAAGTGAAGACATGATGGTATCATATTTGGAAAGCAGCAGCAAACAGTAACAGATTTATTCCTTCCTCCAAGGAGCCTTAGGTTTCTATATACAGTAGCATGACTGCAGTATGTTTTGAGGGACTTGGTTTCAGATATGAGGAGCTTGTAAACGCTGCCCAATGTTGTTTGGCATTTGCACTGATAACAGCTAATAGTTCTCCTCTATTTAGCCTTAAGAGCATTTACTTACTTATAGTTCAATAATCAGTCATCAAAACCATTAGCTTTTTAAATCTCAAGTTGTTTTTTTTTTTTTTACATTTCTATACAATTACTGTGTTTTGCCACCAACTTTGTCTTTCTTGATATTGAAATGTAGAAGTCTTCCTATATTGGAACATCCATTAGTTCAAAGCAACAACTAGAGGGGGGAATCAATAAAATATAAGCCAGATTGGTCATTGAGGTTATATTTTGGCATCTCAAAAAAAATATTTAAAATGTTGGATTGGTGTGGAGAAGAAAATGCAGTTTTGTAGAGAAATGTTTATTGAACAAATGCTGATGATACAAGATTAAAATTCCCTGTATCTCAAATGTACAAGCTTAGTGTCACAAAATAATAATGTATTCTTATCAGTAGAAATCCTTTGTGCACCAAAGACATGTTTCACCTATCCGCAGTCATTACTCAATGATAGCAGGCGCCTTCAGAGATAGCCCAAAAAACAAACACTATTGGTGATGTCACACAGTGCCACTGAAATAAATTGATGTGCCAGAAACAATGGCCCCCAGGTAAAAACAGAGTGCATTATTTCAAGTCTGTGCACAATACATCACGTCGTTTGGTTGCCGGTGCTGACTCTCGCACATTGTTTGGTATTCTGCCTGTCAAGCCTGGACAAAGCAGATGGTTGCACTTAGTGTTTAGAAATGTAAGATTGTCTCTCTGTACTAAGACTCACTTTTATTTATTTATTATTTATTATTTATTCATTACATAATACCGGTCCCCACTTTAGGGCTTTTAGGTAAATTGTAAGCCATCTTGATTAGCAATGTAATTGTCCACATTTAATTGATTGCAATTAATGTTAATGTGATTAGGTGGTGCTTTGTTTAGTCAGTGAATTTACTGTGTAAAAAGGTTGATTTTACAGCTGTTTGTTTGTCCTAATCAACTGTAAAAATGTAATTGTCAATAGACAGACAGGCAGACAGACAGACAAATAAATATTATATCAATTCTGCCATAGAAATAATGTGTCTGTTAGCAGCTAATAACTACAATACCATGGATATTCAAATATGAAATTGCAATTAACTGTTTTGTTTTCTAAGGATAACACAAATTGAAGCATAGCAGTACACTCAATAGATCTACACCATTTTGTCATAAAATGTGTGTGAAAGCTCTGTTGAATTAATGCATTAATGTCCTCCCCATGTATGTTATCCTTAAAGAAGAAAAAAATCAATTGCAATTCTATAGCTCTCTTGCTGAGTGCTCCAAGAAGAGCCTGTTACTGAATTTGAGCTATGGATGCTTTCATCGACATGCTAAGCCTTTTGAAGATGACCATCCATTGTCCTGCAATTTAGATATTCTATAGTTCACCCAAGTGCATTATTTGTGAAGCGGTATTATGGGTTTTCCCCACCCCATCACCCCTCTGAAAAAAAAAGAAAAGAAAAATTGGATTCAGTCCATTACATCCCCTCAAAGTAGATCACAATATTGTCAACTTAACTTTTTGGCCGTTGATTTTATATATTCATTTATTCAACTGAATTGTTGCATTTTTGAGTAATTTCGATATTATGTAATACAACCTAAAAAGGTGAAAAAAGTCAGCATTTTATGAACTGTTGAGCTGATGTGGAACAGAAAGGGATCAAAGTTAAGAAATAAAAAAAGATAAGTAAATTACAATAAGAGTATTACATTTATTTTTAATGAAGGTATTGGAACTTATCCTGAATCCTTTTACTAAAGTCCCCCAATGGGAGGCCCGGTTTTTGCCCTTGGTTCACCTTAAGTGGCTGTAAATGTTCCCGGGCCAGATACAATATACTGCAAGTTTATGGGTTTGCTTGAGAATCCTCTCTGATTTGAACTTGCGTTGAAAGCCTTCAAAACGGGATAACCCCAAAGGCATCCTGATCAGGTACCGAACCAACCTTATCTGGCCCCTTTCAATTAGGGATGGATCAATCCACATTGTTGCACCCCACTTCCCTCACATGAATTTTGATATCTGCTGATCCTGATACTTTTCTGATACCAGAGCTCTGCTTGCTTAAATGTTATCCTCATCACTGTTGACTTTTAAAGAGGCTGTCATAAACTTCTTGCTACAATCAAGTATGATATATATGAATTCACACATGTATATCCCAAAAAGTAGGACTGGACAATAAAATAACAATATGTATTGCAATAGACACATGAAAAAATATATATATAAAAAAAAAAATGGATAAAATATTCTCTAATTTCAATGAATCTTAATCCTGAACCACAAAACATTCTGTTGTTTGTAGGCAGAGAAGTATTTAGTCTCTAAACCTGTCATTAGCTAAGCAAGTTTGGTGTTAAGTCTGATCTCTTTCTAAAAAAAAAAAGAAGATTTTTATCCTAACCAAAATTCATTTTAGTAATAGACTGAATACATCTTTCCCTATAGATGGGGCCCAATTTTAATGATACCTAACTATTAGGGATGCATGATATTGGGATTTTGGCCGATATCCGATATGCCGATATTTTAAAAGCCGATAACCGATATCGATACTGATGTTAAAGCTGGACAAAAATAAGTAGTCATTGAAAATAGCAGTTTTGTTATCCATTTCTGACACTTTGAAAAATAATATACTCAAATATGTTTTCATATGCTGATATCAAATTGATTTTTAAAAACGCGGTATCAATCTATTTTACTTTCAAAATCTCCTGAAATTTCATCGTTCTGTTACAAACTCTCGTGATATTTTGCAAATTCTTGTGAGATTTTGTTAGTAAAATAGATCGATACCACGTCAATATATCAACATATGAAAATATGGCAAAATTCCGTGATTTTCCGGGGGATTTCGTAGCATAACGATGACATATAGCAATATTTCATTAGTAAAAGAGATTGATATGGTGTTTTTAAATGGCAATATATCAGCATATGAAGATATTGTGATATTTTAATGTATAAATATTTTTTCCCTCGTCTTTAGAAGTTTTTAAGTCTGTAAAAAAGAAGTTTTTGAGGAAGAAGAAGTAGTATTTTTTATTTTTTTTTTAGACTT